AAATAAGCCACTTTTAAACTGGAGATGCTACATTTGCACATCTATTTATTATTGACATCGTTTATTAACAGTATTGCCTTTGTCTATAGGTGCATGTGTAATGTTTCTGAAGTTATTATGGAATCGAAGCCAAAAAAAAAAAAATCTTTTACGTCATTTCAGCATGAACTAAATTCCAAAACTGACTTTGTGAGGTGCAGTTAGGGCTGGGCGATATGGCCCCCCCAAAAAATCTCAGATTTATTTATTTTTATCCCAAATTCGATTTTAATCTATTTTATTTCCTACTTAACGGAGCACCTTTGTTTCAGGTGTCGAAACAAATTTGTTGTACTCCTGCTTTTTGTAGCAAGAGCCTTCAGACAGATTTTGCAGTGAGGTGTTTGTTGCTCCAAGTCCGAGGTTGAGAAACCTAACCAGTTCCAGAAAACTGAAGAAACAGTGTCTTTTTTGAGAAGTAGCTCCTCTTTGCTAGCTGCCATATTGTGGACAGGTGGGGTGACCTCTGAACTACAGAAGCCTCAAAGAGTGCAMTGGTGGGAAAAAAAATCTCAATTTTCCCAAAATTAAATCTTTATAAATGGCAAATTCAAATTAATCGATTCAATTGATTTAACGCCCTACCCTAGGTGCAGTGTTATGTCTTCTCACCAGAACTGCGGAAGACTTTTGGAAACGGAGCAGCAGTCTTTTCTGCATCAGGTTCAGCCTTTTCCCTCTGGCCCTCCTGAGGATTCTCTGCATTCGTGCCGACGGACGCCGCTTGGGCCGCAGCCGCACCCGGTGATTGTCGGGCTTCAGCCACTGGTAACAGTACGAACACACCGAGGTTCTCTGCAACAAACTCGATGTCTTTTGCTTTTGTAGAGCTGCAAAAAATAAAAATAAAAAAATCAAGCATTTGTGGCATGCTGGCAAAATGAGTCGGACTGAGCACAGGTTGTAGCATAAAATACTGAAAATATAGATTTTTTTGTAATTAGGGTGGATAAAAACAAGTCTATAAAGACCCACCTTGTGAACTAAAATATCATCTAATCTACCCTTAAATTATATTTTGGACAAGTATGTCTTCAGAAACAATCTTTTTTCTTATAACCTCATAATTTCCTTTGATATTAACCATTTTCCTCTGCCATTTGCCGCAGTGCTGGGGAATCCCTTCGTATAATGTTTGGCATCACTATGAAGTCTGGGGATTTCCCTTTTTAAACATCAGGCTGGAATTCCCAATGACATCACTCCAGACCAATAAAAAACAAAATTTCAGCACTCGTAAATAGGATTGGGCAATACTGGCAAAAAAATTTATCACAATTAATTGTGGTATTTAGCCGATAAATTAATTTGACAATTAATCCCCTGGAGTCCCTGGACACCCTTATGTCCTGGTCACATGACCAGTTTAGTGGGAAATCTTTGCTCTTCGTAAAAATCTGTTCCAGATTGTGTCAAAATTACAGACTTCAGGCTATACATCAAATTTTAAATTGTGTTGACAGATAAATGAATTACAGAACTTTTTTATGTTTGTCATATTTGAAGCGGAGAGGAGCAGCGAGCGGACTCTGCCAGGTTGTGGCAATAATCGTATTAATCATCAAGTGGCAAAAAATGATTAATGTTTTTCTGATGATTAATTGCACACGATACGATTATGCCCAACCCTACTCGTAAAGGAAACTAGCTTGTTGCCAGGACAAGTTACAAATCGTTCAATTTCAATAAAATGTAATGCAGAAAAATTCTCATTATGGCTCATTTTACCAGCTTGATTTTATTTTATTTTGGCATAAATCAGGGCAGGGAGTGAGGGCCATACTGGGATCAGTGGTTAGATTCTGTTTAAACTACAAAACTGCAGTGCCCTCTTTGTGCACAGAAGTCAAACTATAAGTTTGCTTCCTGGGTATCAACCCCCTGTTCTATTTGTAGAGTGAAGTCTTACCAAAACTGCTCAACGACTCCACCGTCCACTGATGTGGTTTTGTTTGAGTCGGAGACTGCATGTGTGAGTGTTTGGTTCCAACGAGCAGCCTGCAGCAGCTGGACGGCTGACTGTGCTCAGCTGAGGATTTATTGAGTTTCATCAACCTTGACAAGCTGGTGACAAGGTCCTCCTCACAACTACATCTTGTGTGTTTGGCTTTATTATGCTTCGAAGCGTCAATGATAAAAACATGCAGGAGAAAAAAAAATATGATTTGAGAATATAAAAAGGAGTGTCAACTCACCGTTACTCTCGAAAGGAAACTGCCTACGGATAAGAAGAAAAAGAATCAGATCAGATACTGAGACTTTATAATTGACTTTATGCGATTTAATATTCTCATCTGGTCAAATTGTTCAAGTTAAATATGACACAATGAATACAACAAAACAAACAAACACAATACAAACTGGAAAAATCAATTTAAAGAGTTTGATGCCAACAGCTCTTCTCATTATATGAGTGGAAAAAGATGCAACCGGAAACATAGCGGGGGGGG